GTAAAAAATACCTTTAAAGTATAATTTAAAAAACCCATTATTAAAAAATATATTATTTTATATTCTAACTATTTCATTCTTCAAAATAAGGATTTTTAAATAAAAGGAGTTCCTTGATAATTGATGTTTCACAATTTATAATAATTCAAATAGTAAAATACTTTTTTTCATGGTTTTAAAATTCGGTTTGACTTGATCGGTTGAACCAATTCAACCAGACCTAAACTTAAAAACGAGCCGATTTCATGCATTGACTCATTTTGCAAGTTGACTCGTGTTAACCCACCAGACTCGTCGGACCTGCTCCAAACGCCAACCCGTCCCACTCGTAAGGTAGAATCTATGATGCCTTTATTAACTTTTTTTTAAATAATTTTTTTAATGTAATTTACCTATTTTATGCCATCCTTTTAATAATATTACATTAAAAATCTTAAATTTAAACTAAAATTAAATATAAAAACCCTAATTAAAAGTACTATTTTGTAAAAACACATGAAAAAAAAAAAAAACAGAATTAGAAAGTAAAAGACATCATCCCGTCGACCATCCTTCTCCCTCATCCTTGCTCCATTTTCGTGAGTCCATCGGCATCTCACCACACCAGTCACCGCCTCATCACCTTCGGCAAAGTAGCTTGATCTCCTTGCTCCACTTTCATCAAGATCTCACCCCAGTCACCACCTCGTCTAGTCATCTCCTTTGCTGAATAGAAGCAACAAAGCAGCTCGACTGACTCTTGACGACCACATGAATCAAATGGCAGATCTCGTTCAGAAGCTCTCTTCAGAGCTCCGCTTGGGCCTCCAACCAGCTTGCAACAATTTCATGGGATTCTTCCATGTAATCGATTGGAAGGTAATGCATCCACTCCCTCCATCTTGCTATTTTTGTTTGCATGTTTGGCTGTCGAGAAAACTCAGGAAATGGAAGAAATTCTAATTTTCTTTTGTTGTTTTGTTGGAGTAGAGAATGATTTTGAATATATAGATATGAGATTTATAATGTGTGTCTATTTGTTACTCATTAGATCCTTTGTGTTATCTTTTAGAGTAGCATTGCATGTTTGTTTGATACTGTATCTATCTGCAATTCAATTAAAACCGTTTGCTTATGCTAAAAACTACCTTAATTTGACTAAAGCAAGCTGCCATAAGTGATAATGGTATGATTCACATAATGCTTTACCCAATATATGTGTTTTATGAGCTGAGCCTAAGAATTCGTAAGGTTTCAACTAAATATGTAGCTCAAGGATTGCAATGGAGGTTTTATGAATTATTTCGAGTGATGGAAACTTACATCTGAAAGCTTTATGGATTTTAATCCTCTATGAGAATCACATTAAGTTCGAGGCCTATCCTTGATATTTTTTTTAATAATTAGAAAAGGCTTTTGGTATATTTTCATTTAACTTCAAGTTCGATCAACTATTTAACTAGAACCCTTCTACCTATTACTTTTTGGCAAGAACCAAGGTTAATGGGCTTATTGGCGTTCCATTTTGTTTTGTTGATTAGAACCTTACTCTCGAGGAAGAATACCAACTTCCAGATGTGTCTGTTCCTGTTGGCATGTAAGTTTTCATTTATATGATATTGGCAAAACGAAATCCATATTTGAGCATTGAGATCTCAATCCATGGTTTTCCATCTAATCCCATATTGGTGATGGAATTGAAGATAGTGATAGTGATAGTGAGCATGAGTCTCGGGAGTTGCAGTTGCATGCTTACTTTGATGAAGATGCTCCTCATTTAGGTAAAAATAAATGAATTAATGATGCTTTATCTATTTGAGATTTATCTTTATTATGAATTTAGTTTGAGACTTTTTTAATATTCAAGATTTTTTTTACATTTAAAACTTATTTTATAGTGAATTTGTGGATTTAGTTTGAAACTCTCATTTATATTTAAGACTTATTTTGTAGTGAATTTAGTTTAAGAGTAAGTTCTTTCTTATTATCATACTTAATGAATTTTTTTATATTGTATATTTTAATATTTGTTGATTTATATCTTAAAAATTATATGTATTTAATTAAATTTATTATTTTAAATAGCTTAAACGATGATTTTCAAGTTAATTTTATGATAATTATTTCTTAAGAATAAAGTGAAAGTAATAAATAAATGTAAAATCCAATAAAAATGTAAAAAAAATGTTTTTTAGTTAACCGATTGAACCGATCAAATGAACCGATTTAATTGATTGAACCAAATCCAATGACCAAAACGGTCAACAACCAGACCAAGTCCAAAAACACTGCTTTTTTTATTAAATAAGTAAATTTGGTGATGATAAAATCTTCAAAAAAAAAAAACTATACTCATCATAACAATTCGGATGGAAGAAAAAAAATTTTGTGTCTTTTTATCAATACAATATTTTTGGATTAGTTTTTACATCTCATGAAATTATATTTTTTTAAGTGATTTTAAAAGTATATTTTGTGTGAATATGATATATTTAAAAATAATTATTTTTAAGACAAAAATTAAAAATATTTTTATCATAAATATATATAAAAAATATAAAAATTAATATTAATTTCAATATTAATAAAAAATAAATAAATTTAATTAGATTAATAAATTAAAAATAATACTTTCATCTAATAGCATTCACCTTATACAAAAAATCATTGCTCAATCATCATTCGGTGGGTTTTAACTTCAGTTAAAAAAAAGAAAAGAAAAAATCATCATTTGGTGGGTGAGAAGAAGCAGATGTACACGTGGTGGGAAAGCGACAGGTTAAAATCAATGTAACTAGAGCAATGCTAGCAACACTCGCCACTTACACTCTCCGACCTACACTTCCAATTTCATTGGGCCACGTTATGTTAGTTGGGAGAAATAATTATTTCATACCCGCAGCAAGCTTACGTGGCCCAATAAAAAAGCATGTGTTAGCCGGGGAGTGCAGGAGGCGAGTGCCCCTCGCATTGCTCATGTAACTATCCAGCATGGACCATTGTTGTTATCGACGCCACGTGCCGCACAACTGTGTCGTTTGAACTATCGGACGAGCGACGTGTCCAGTGACGTCGTCCAAAATTCATTTTTTATTATTGCTGACGTGTATGCTGATCAAGGACAAAGAATCGCCGCCCCACCCTAGTACGGTTTTGTCCATTAATGGGATAGTGGTGTTATAAAAATATTTTTTAATATAATTTTACATGTTATTAATTAAATAAATATATTTAATATTATATATTTTATTTTAAAAAATTAATTATTTAAATAATATAGTAAATTATATTAAAAAAAATAATATAAAACATTATTTTAAAATCATTTTTTTGGAATGGGATAAAATTTTAAAATATATAGATAATATTTTTTTTTTTGAACAGATTTTACAAGGGGTTGGGTTCGAACCCTAACCTTGGGAGAGGGGGAAATGCACCATGAGTGGCTATTGTCACTTGGCTCGAAGGGCTCGGTGCAAATATATAGATAATATTAAATGCATAAATATATATATTTAATTATTTAAATCTTATTAAAAAAAAAATCTCGGCAAACGTTGCTAACAAATATTTTTATTCGTGAAATTGTATATTTGTAAGAGTGCTTAAAATGAAATTTTGTTTCCATAAAAAAAATATATCTATGATCATTAGAGAGTCATTATTATTATTATTATTTATTTATTTATGTATTTTAAAGGGATCTAAAATGTGTGATTTGAAGATGGGTGATATTATGAGACAAAAATCAAATTAAGTCATGGGTTGATGAACCAAAATGTTGATGTAATTAACTACCTAAAAGAAGTAACCTGCCACTTCCTTTCACCGAAAAAACACATCAAAAAATGGAAATTCTAGATTTGTAACGCAATACAAGCTTATAATTTGATAACCATATCGAGGGGTTTCCTTAGTTGTTGATGGGCTTGCAACCCCAATTAATAAACATTTGTTTAAACATTTCTTTCTCTATCATGTTATTGAAGGTCATTTTATAAATTCTTTAACTTTAATATGGATAGTTTAATTTTGAACTAAAGTTAGAAAGATAAGTTTGATGCAATTAAGCAATACATGAAGGATAATAATCGTGACGACTTCCTTTTATGTTACTCTTTTTAGCCGTCCCTAATTTATTAAAAATTGGAGAATATATTTGGTTTAAGAAAAATAAAGAGGATGAAATAAGAGAGATAAAATTTTTAAGCAACTGATTATAATATCAAAAAATATTATAAATTAATTAATTAAAAAATTCATTCATTTCTTGCTTTTCAATTTTTTCAAACCAAATATAATACACATGAGATTAAATTTGTTTTTTTTTTATTTTTTACATTGGATGCTAGGTAGCTTATACAATTGGAAATGACTTTTCCCTTTCATAGACCCCTTCGTATTTGTTAAGATTTGTACCCAATCTTCCAACTTATTATCTTAATTAAATGTTGTTTGGTTTGATTAAGCAACGTTTTTTCCTTTCATCCAATCTCCACCTTTTATTTACTAGGTAGTAATTTTGCAGTTTATTATGCGCCGACATCATGTTTTATACCAATTAATGAAGGTAAAATCACCTCAATATAAAATGCTTATCTCTCATTAATAATTATAAAATAAATAATCCACACAAAATGAATAGTATATCATTCTTGTTTGTTTATTTTTTCAAACAAAACAAGCTCTTGAACTTTTTAACAACTGAGACATCTTAGAAGATGAATTGTTTGTCCTTGATAATGCAAGGTGTGATTAGTGTGGTATGCACTGATGTAATTATGGCCATGATCATTTAAATCATAAGGCTATATAAATATTATTTAATTTGATTGACAAGTTATTTATTTACAATTTTTTAAACAAATAATTATAATATCTAAAAATATTAATTTATAAATTAATTTTAATATATTAAATATAAATTATTTTATTAATTATTATTAACTATTTTAAAATCATTATGGTGTGAACACAACATTTGTATGTGTGGCTATGGCTGCACCCGATCTGTACTTTCCACGTATTGTAATTCACGGTACATGAAATTCAGTAGTGAGGAATGTGGACGGCAATTTGGTGCACAATTATTGTCCTCCTTCTTGGAAAAATTGGGCCAACAATTATTTTCCACAT